ACAGCGGAGGTGACACAAGGGGGGAACAAGGAGGAAGACGGGCCAGAGAAGAGTCCGGGGGCGGGAACAGAGGGCCGTAGACCGGAAGGTGAGGAGGAGGTGGGGGAGACACCGGTGAGCGGTCAGCGGAGGGAAGGCCGAGCAAGCGAAGAGCGGAGATCGCCGGCGACGACTGCGGCGGCTGCTGTGGCGGCTGGTGCTCAACCCTCGAACCGGCAGGGGCACGACGACCTCCGAGAGAACACTCAACAGCAGCACCCCCAGCACTAACACCCCTAGAGCGAGAACCCTCTCCAGCCCCAGCGGCACCCCCAGGCCCACCGGGACAGACCACGCCAGGAGCCGTAGGACGAACACCCTCCTCAGCGCCAGCACCCCTAGAGGCGAAGAGCGGCAGTGGCAGCGGCGGCGGCAGCGGCTGCGGCTGCTACGGCGGCGCCCGCGATAGCGGGGGCAGAGAAACCAGGGAGGGGGGATGCGGCAAAGGCGGGGGGAGGGGGGGGGCAACAGAGTCAGCAGACTCCTCAACAGGGACAACGGACGGGGGGGAAGTGACATGGGAGACACCAGAAGGGGCAGGATGTGGGGGGAGGGGAGGAGGGGCTATCGGGGGAGAGGGGGCAAGGAACAGGGAGGGGGAAACCGGGAGACCTCGGTGAGGGAAGCGTCGGTACAAGGAGACAGACTCGTCAAAGGTAATGTCACGAGAGTGGTGGAAGCGGTGAGACTACGGGTGGTAGAAGAGCCAGTCAGACGAGTCCAGGGGGAAACCAAGGAAGACACAGGGGACAGTGCGAGCAGTGAGCTTGTCCGTGCTAGAGGCACAAACGTGAGCAATGCAGCCCCAGACGTGGAACCCAGACGCGTCACCGGGGGATCCGGTCCAAAGGAGGGTCGGCGAAACCTGCGGCCGCTGGGAGCGTGGCCACAGGTTAAGCTAGTGAACGGCGTAGCGAACGACGAACGACCACAGAAAATGGGGTGCACCGGCATGGATCATGGAGGTACGAGCCACCTCCATGACCAAGCCGATGCGGCACTCAGCAACCCCATTCTGCTGTGGCAGGTTCGGCAAGGTGTACGACTGGGTGATGCCCTCCGCACGACAGAACTGTCCAAGCCGACCAGAAGTGAACTCGCCGCCATGTCAGAGTGGAGACACAACACGGGGAGACCGCGGTGAAGACGCGCAGCCACAACCCACGGGAGAAGAACGTCGGGCACGTCGGCCTTCCGCTCCAGGGGAAACACCGTGGTGTAGCGCGTGTAGTCGTCAACGAGCACAAGAAAGTAGCGCTCGCCACGAAGTCCGGGGACGGGGGCTGGGCCCCAAACGTCCAAGTGCAGGGTCTGAAGGGGAGCAATGGCAGGGCGAAGCGAGGAGGAGTGAGGGGCACGGCGGAGCCGGCCCTCGACGCAGGGCGTGCACAGTGGAGCAGGCGAGAGGGGAAGGGCGAGGAGCAACGCGGGGAGGCCTAAGACAAGACCGTGCTGGGACATGTGACGCAGACGCGGGAGTGCAGTGTGACCTAGGCGGTGGTGCCACAAAAGAGACGGGTGAGTGAGGGACCGACACGAGCAAGCTGCAGCGACCTGGGAGGACGCACCAACCGGGGGGGAAGCGGTGTCGAGGGTAAACAGACCACACACCGGGTCCCGGGGGAATGTCGCAAGAGGGGAACGTGAGACTGCCTCAGTACAGACAGTGAACCGCTCGTGCCCAGGGAACGTGGTTGTGACGCCGAGGTCCTGAAGACGGCCGACACCAACCAGGTTCCTGGAGAACGAGGGAACATGGAGGCCTGTAAGAGAGCCCGAGGGAACTGCTGGACAGGGAAGGGAAGTGGAACTGCGAGCAACGACAGGACCGGCAGAGGAGTCAGCGAGGGAGACAACAGCAGGTGCAGCAAGCGGCGTGAGCGTGGACCGGTCACGGAAGAAACAGGCAGAAGCACCGGAGTCGAGAGTGAAGTACAGCGAGGCAGTGGCAGAGGCAGGGGACGGGGCTGGTGCAGAAGCTAGGCTAGACAACCTAGGCAGTCCTACGCCTGACGGAGCAGGGGTCGCTATGCTACACAAGGGTGAAACACCTAGACTAGAGTACATAGGGTAGTAAGATCCAGCAACACTAGAAGCGTCAGCATACAAAGCATGCAAAACAGCACCTATCTGATACATGTCGAACTCAAAGATCAGCACGCCCTGGCGGAGCAGGCTGTGCCAGCCAGGGAGGTTCGGGGCCGGGCCAAATTGACGACGAAAAAGATCGTCGAGGCGGCGGAAACAGCGCGCGGTCGGGTGCGAGCGGCGGCACAGAGTGCCGCGGAGAGGCCCGGTCTGAAGCTGGTACTGGCAGGTCACAGCACCGGAGCCGCTGGTAGACGCCAAGTTGCGCGGGCCGCCACCGCGGCCACTGCCTCCGGAGGTGCCGGGCCAACCAGGCGGGAGACGAGCCCACGGCTGCGGCAGGTGCTACTGGGATGGCGGCTGCTGCTGGGACGGCGGCTGTGGCTGGGGCTGCTCTTGCTGCGGCTAGGGCTGCTGCTCTTGCCCACCGGTGATAGTCCCCTCAGGCGGACTACCGTCACCACCACCACTACCACCACCACCTGCGCCACCACCCCTACCTCCCTGGCGGCCACGGCCACTGCGGCGCGAGCGCTGGCTCGGGTGGACTGCAGCAGCCGTCTCGGTAAGAGGGGTCGCCGTGGCGACCGCAGCCGAAACGTAAGTGAATGTGCACTGGGAGGGTGCACAACCGTGAAAGATAGAGACTGCCGGTGCACCGCTCGACTGAGGGATAGTGCGCTGGCGAGTCTCGATCTCAGTGAGGGTGTCGACAAAGGCGGTGAGGGTGAGGTCACCCGGGTGCTGGCTAAGGAAGTGGTCGCGAGCACTAGCGAGGTGGTCCGGCAGGCGCATGGCGATAAAATAGAGCGTCATGCAGAAAGGAGGGGGGAGCGCAGTGAACTGGGCAGGAGTGCTGGCAGTTCGATAGCGAGTCTCTAGGGCACGCAAGTGAGTGGCAAATTCTGCGACAGTAGGGAAGGCAGCAAGGTCTGGGAACAGCATCGGAAAGAGCAAGCGGCTAGCAGAATCGGAGGCAGGGGTGGAATAGCAAGCAATAACGACGACTAAATAAGCTTTGGCCGTCTCAACAGTAGCAAAGCACGAGCGCTCAGACATAGGGAGGGCATGACTAATAGCAACCTGGGCTACTGCATCGCGTGAGTCCCAGACTGCACAGGCTCGCGCAACAGTAGAGAAAGCCTCACGGTCATCAGAGGAGGGGTCAGCAGGGAGGGGAGCAGGGGCAGGGGGGCGGGGGAGCAAGCCATCAGCATGGACAACCAGAGAGTGGCCATCCTGACGCTGACCTGTAAGCTGGCGGCGGAGATCGGAGAGCCAGGCGGCGAAGTCAACCGCGTGGCCCTCAACGTCCAGTCGGAGCACGAAGTCAACCATCGTGCAGGGTCAGCGACACAGCTCCTCAGCGACACAGTGGCACAGCTCCACAGCACCGCAGGAACACAGGGGCGCAGGGACACGGCGGCACCCCCTCCAGTAGAGCAGCTGCGAGGCGCCCCAGCGCCGGCGAGGAGAAGACACAGGGCCCGAGAGGACACGACAGGCCGAGAAGGCACAAGGACGGGCCGGGCGGGCAATGAGAGGGGCCGGGCCGGCGCTGGGAGGCGGGCAGGTGCGACAGGCCGGGCGGGTGCTAGGAGGCCGGGCGGGCGCTTTGGGGCCGGGCGAGTGCTGGGAGGAGGCCGGGCGGCGCGAGGAGGAGGCCGGGCAGCTCTAGGAGAGGGGCCGTGCGGCACGAGGAGTCCGGGCGGCGCTAGGAGGAGACCGGGCGGCGCTAGGAAAGGGGTCGGGCGGCACTAGGAGGAGGCCGGGCGGCACGAGGAGGAGGCCGGGCGGCGGTAGCGCTAGGAGAGGCGCGACGGGGCCCAGCGGGCGCGACGGGGGCCGAGTGGGCACGAAGGGGCCCAGGGGGGGCGCGACGGGGCCTAGCGAGCGCAAAGGGGCCCAGGGGGGGGCGCGACGGGGCCTGGGAGACGCGGCCGCGACGGGGGCCGAGCGGGCGCGAAGGGGCCCAGGGGGGCGCGACGGGGCCTAGCGAGCTCGAAGGGGCCTAGGGGGGGCGCGACGGGGGCCTAGCGGGCGCGAAGGGGCCCAGGGGGCGCGAAGGGGCCTAGGAGGCGCGACGGGGCCCAGGGGGCGCGACGGGGGCCTGTTGGGCGCAAGGGGGCCCAGGGGGGGCGCAACGGGGCCTAGGAGGCGCGACGGGGGCCTAGGCTAGGGCACGGGCGGAAGCGGTGGGCGGAGGGATCCTAACCTAAGCTTGATACCATGTTAACGTAAGAAGGAAATGAATAACTAGGAAGAGACACACAGAACAAATACCAGTTGGTTGTACTCACTAGAAGCACACACCTAGTCTAGCCTATAATTTCTACATATATAATATGTATAAGTTGACACTGATACCATGTCATAAAATCACTAGTCCTAACCACCGAGACAAGAAGGAATGTCATCAGGAGGGTTAGGCTCCATATATCCACCTTCCCCGAGGAAAGCCTCCCCAGTTCCCTCCCTGGAGAGAGAGAGAGGATCGACAGGGTTATCCCAGTGCCACGAGAGTACTATCCCATTCCTGGTACCATGCTAGGTGCTCATGCAGGTGCTGATTTGTGTTGTGGTCCTTTTACTAACATAATTCTAATCCTAAAACATAGGCAGAAATGGATTTTAGTTGCAAATAAATTATTTTCTACTTTTTTTTTCAAATCGACAGCCTATCAGTCATAGCCCATCGTAAATACGGGATTACTTGAAAGTGTACTAAATTTCACGGCACTCATGCTAACTTACAGAAATGAATCGTTGAGTGTACAAAGATTGACCAACCCGTCTTCAAACGGGAGCCGAAACACGAGGTTCAGGGGTTGGCTGTCAGGGTTTCTTTTTTCCCGCCAAGGTAGAATCGAGGTTTAGCAGCAGGCACTACCAACGCAGAGGCAGACACCGCTACCGCTTGGTGATCATGCTTAGTAGGTAAAATCGAGGATTAGTAGAAAGACGGACGACGGATGCCATTACGGCATGGTGCGGATCGTTTTCAGGTAGAATCGAGGGCTACCTACCTACGCCTTAGGTTAGGCCATCAGTCTTCGTCTACTGCTTCACGTCAGCGTGCATGTTTGTCGTCTGTCGTTCCGTGCTGACTCGCCTGGCGAACCGTTAACTGTCAGTTACATCGTCACCTTCTGCGTCGTTTATGATCGCCGAGAGCTACTGTCGGCAATCGGTTGGTTGTGGTCGGTCGGACCGTGCAGCGTACGGAGACGCACGAGGCAGGAGTGCATTCGGCGTTCGTGCAATCAGCGTCAAGTTGTTTGGAATTCTAGATAACTCTGTAGATCAGCGGGCATGGCGGTTTCGTTCGAGAGCGACGACTACAAGCAAGGCGTGCCCGAGAACCTCGAGAACCTCGTCGCGCCTCACATCGACTCCTTTGACTATTTCGTCGAGCGCGGGTTACCAGAAGCCGTTCGCCTGATTCGCCCGGTGGAAGTGCATGACTCGTTCAGGAAGCTCAGATTCTACTGTAAGCGGCTCATGGGTTTAGGGATTTTCGAACAAGTTCAAATCCCATGCTTTCATGGTTGTGAGTAAAGAGACTCGTTCAGGAAGCTCAGATTCTATTGCAAGCGGGCCATCGTTTCAGGTAGTTATTTCTGAACGAGTTCAGATCCCCTACACACATCTGAATCTTCATGGTCTTCGTCGAGCTGCATTCATGTCTCACGTGTGCCACATGCGCACTGACGCCGAAGTCCGGCGCAAAAAGGTGACTTTTGAGTCGACTCAAGAATCTCCATGGTCTTCTTCCAGCTGCAGTCATGTTTCACGTGTGCAACATGTGCACTGACGCCTGAAGTCCGGAGCAAAGTTTTGCAATTCTGGGGCTTCCTGGTGGCGTTCCCTCTGCGTTCCGTCTGCAGTGTGGTGGGAAAACCCGAGCATCACGAAGCCTTTTAGCGAGGATGGCCAGCACCGACCCGTTTACCCATCAGAGGTGCGTTAGCGAAGCTTTAGATCCGGAGGTGGTCTCAGGAGGACTCTGTCTTGAGGTACATCTGCATGCAGGAATTTCCCCTTGGCCTGCGCGTATACACTAGCAGTCTCCCACGTTTCTTCCCCCCACCTCCCCCCTCGCCTCAATCTCTTCCCCCCCCGCTACACTCTCCCCCGCTGCACTCTCCCCCGTTATACTCTCCCCCTCTACAGTGCCGGCAATCAGGCGGCACGTACCGAGGCGATTTCCGCATTGATCTCTGCGTCTCCTACTTCGACGATGACGATGACGTTGCAGATGCTGACGTGGCCAAGGGCCCCATGCAGCGCCAGCAGATCAGCCTGGGGAGGATGCCGATCATGGTCAAGGTGAGCGCGCTGACGTGGCACAAGCAAGCCCAAAGTAATGTAAACTGATTCATGAATTTATTTATATAGTCGAAATTCTTGTACCTGTGTGATCAACGTGACCATGTCTTATCGCACTTGCCCTCAGGCCTAAATCCCTCTCCTGACTCGCCCCCTGCTGTCAAGCACTTATCACTTGAGCCCCCCAAAAGTGATGGTGTGTGATGGCGTGATGGCCCTAAAACCCTTTCTCTATCCCGCTCGCCTTTTCAACCCTTCCCTCGTCTGGTGACTGCAGCCCAGCGCGTCCCACCTGCGCCACCTCACGCAGGAGCAGCTCGTGCGGAGGTAGGAGGCCAGTTGTGAGGCGCCTTATCCTTCCTTGATCCGCCTTGTGCCCCCCTTGTCTCCCTCCCTCCTTCCCCTACCCACCCCTCCCTTCCCTCGTCTGCCCTTGCAGTCCAGTGCGTGCCACCTGCGCAACCTCACGCAGGAGCAGCTCGTGCGGCGCAAGGAGGAGAGCATCGAACTGGGCGGGTAGGCTGGGCTTCGCGGTGAAAGGGTTTTGCTGTGTGATGCTGTGTGGTGCTTATATTTCTCAACCCCACAGTCATTCGCTCTGCCACCCCTCCCTTTCCCACCCCATGCCCCACCTTAAATCTCCATTCCTGATCCTCTCCTCAACCTCCTCCTCCTCCTCCTCCTCCTCCTCCTCCTCCTCCTCCTCCTCCTCCCTCCTCCTCCTCCTCCTCCTCCTCCTCCTCCTCCTCCCCTCCTCCTCCTCCTCCCTCCTCCTCCTCCTCCCTCCTCCTCCTCCCTCCTCCTCCTCCTCCTCCTCCTCCTCCTCCTCCTCCTCCTCCTCCTCCTCCTCCTCCTCCTCCTCCTCCTCCTCCTCCTCCTCCTCCTCCTCCTCCCTCCTCCTCCTCCTCCTCCTCCTCCTCCTCCTCCTCCTCCTCCTCCTCCTCCTCCTCCTCCTCCTCCTCCTCCTCCTCCTCCTCCTCCTCCTCCTCCTCCTCCTCCTCCTCCTCCTCCTCCCTCCTCCTCCTCCTCCTCCTCCTCCTCCTCCTCCTCCTCCTCCTCCTCCTCCTCCTCCTCCTCCTCCTCCTCCTCCTCCTCCTCCTCCTCCTCCTCCTCCTCCTCCTCCCCTCCTCCTCCTCCTCCTCCTCCTCCTCCTCCTCCTCCTCCTCCTCCTCCTCCTCCTCCTCCTCCTCCTCCTCCTCCTCCTCCTCCTCCTCCTCCTCCTCCCTCCTCCTCCTCCCTCCTCCTCCTCCTCCTCCTCCTCCTCCTCCTCCTCCTCCTCCTCCTCCTCCTCCTCCTCCTCCTCCTCCTCCTCCTCCTCCTCCTCCTCCTCCTCCTCCTCCTCCTATTCCCCACCCCACGTCCCGTAAGCCCCATCCCGCGTCCCCAACACCCATCCGCCCTCCCCCAACACCCATCCTCCATCTTCATCCCCTTCGTTGCTCTCCACCCCCCCTTGCCCCCTGCCCCACCCCCATGTGCCGATCCCCACCCCAGCTACTTCATCTGCAACGGCGCCGTCTCATTGCTCCCCGTCCTGCATTCCCCGCCCCTGCTGCCCCCATGCCCATTTTCCCAGACCCTCAGCTACTTCATCTGCAACGGCTTTGAGCGTCTTCTGCGCCTGCTGATCACTCCCTACGCACTCCTCAATTAGACCCTATTCTCATCCCTGCGTCCCCGACCCGATGCCCCATGCCCGATCCCCTCTCCCCACCCCCCAGCTACTTCATCTGCAACGGCTTTGAGCGTCTGCTGCGCCTGCTCATCGCTCCCCGCCGCAACTATGTGAGCCAAGAGTTTGCCTCGTGAAAGCTGTGCTTTTAGACGCATCTGATCCATTTGGATGGGATTGCCGTTCAAGGTGCATTCTGATTTGAGCCACCAGGGTAAGCTGAGTGAGAGGGGGAGGAGAAAGGGGGCCTGAAACCCCTGGGTTAGCTGAGTGAGAGGGGGAGGAGAAAGAGGGCCTGAAACCCCCGGGTAAGTTGAGCGAGAGGCTCAGCAGGTTGCTGAAACCCCTAGAGTGAGTCAAGTGAGCGGCAAAGGAGAAACAGGAGCTGCAACCCTTGTGGTAAGTTGAGCGAGCAGCTCAGTAGGGTGCTGAAACCCCTAGAGTGAGTCAAGTGAGCGGCAAAGGAGAAACAGGAGCTGCAGCCACCAGAGTAAGCTGAGTGCGAGGGGGAGGAGAAACAGGAGCTGAAACCCTTGTGGTAAGTTGAGCGAGAAGCTCAGCAGGGTGCTGAACAGACAGTGGGGGCTGAATGCCCCTGGGCAAGTTGAGTGAGGAGCGGTGAAAGTCGTAAGTTGAGTGAGAGGGAGGGGTGAAAGGGGCCTGGGGTACTCGGGGTGAGGCCACGCGGGGTGCTAGGGGAAAGGCCGAGAGGGGAAGACCGGCACAAGGAGTCCTTTTAACCCTAAATTTGCACACTCAAGTTTCCTACTGGGCATGTAAAACCCTTGGAAGAAAGAGGTCCTGCGTTGGCAACCGCCAACCGCCAACCGCCCACCGCCCACCACCGCCCTTCTTCCCTCACCTTCCCTCCGCCAGGTGATGAATCTGCGGCGCCCATCACTGCTGAAGAAAGGGCTCAACTTCTCAGACATGGCCACCATTATCCGGTGAGGGGCTATGGGATGCTGGATGCTGTGAGGGATGCTGAGAGGATGTGGGCACGGCAACGCCCCAACATTGCTGAAGAAGGGGCTGAATTTCTCAGACATGGCCACCATTATCCGGTGAGCTTGAGTGCATAAGCATGTGATGGGCATGCACGTGGTGAGATGCATGCACGTGGTGAGATGCACGCACGTGGTGAGATGCATGCACGTGGTGAGATGCACGCACGTGGTGAGATGCATGCACGTGGTGAGATGCACGCACGTGGTGAGATGCACGCACGCGGTAAGATGCACGAACGTGGTGAGATGCACGCACGTGGTGAGATGCACGCACGTGGTGAGATGCACGCACTTGGTGAGATGCATGCACGTGGTGAGATGCACGCACGTGGTGAGATGCACGCACGTGGTGAGATGCATGCACCTGGGTGCGGCATACATGTCACTTACTTATGCTCGTGCATCAACTGCGTCTTCTGTTCCTCTTGTTGCTCTATGCATAGGGTGCGTGGTCATGTTCGTGCATCAGCAGCAGCATCTGTTCTCCTCGTTGCTTTATTTGTAGGCTGCCCTTCAAAAAGGGGGTCGCATTGGGACAGGTGGCATGCTCTGATTGGATTGGCTTCTCCTGACATAGCGTCACGTTGCATGGATGTGACATGGCATGGCATGACATGACATGGCATGGCATGGCATGACATGACATGGCATGGCATGGCGTGGCCTGGCATGTGCCGTACATGGCATGGCATGGCCTGGCATGTGCTGTACATGGCATGGCATGGGATGACATGTGCCTTACATGGCATGGCATGCAGGTGTGTGCGCACGGACCAGTCAGCAATAACCAACAAGCTCATCTACGTCAACGACGGCAATGCTTGCTTCAGCTTCTCGTAAGCTCCTTTCCCTTCCAACTGCTCTTGATACGGCTGCTGAGTCAACTCAAAAGTCATCTCGGACCAGTCAGCAGTGACCAACAAGCTCATCTATGTCAATGACGGCATTGCCTGGTTCAGCTTCTCGTCAGTTCCCTTTCCCCTCCCTCACTCCTCCCTTTCCCCTCCCTCACTCCTCCCTTTCCCATCCCTCACTCCTCCCTTTCCCCTCCCTCTCTCCTCCCTTTCCCCTCCCTCACTCCTCCCTTTCCCCTCCCTCACTCCTCCCTTTCCCCTCCCTCACTCCTCCCTTTCCCCTCCCTCACTCCTCCCTTTCCCCTCCCTCACTCCTCCCTTTCCCCTCCCTCCCTCCTCCCTTTCCCCTCCCTCACTCCTCCCTTTCCCCTCCCTCACTCCTCCCCTACCCCTCCCTCACCCCCTCACCCCACCCCTCCCCCACCTCTCACCCACCACTCTCTCACCGCTTCCCCACCGCCCACGTACATCCAACTCGCCCCGCTACCCGTCGAATCCCGCTCGCCCCTCGAAATTCCTTTTTCTCCCCCTTCCCCCGCCTGCCCCGCTCTCTCTGTACCCCCAGCCTGCGTTTGAGGCGCCTCAAAACTAGATCCTGCTCGCCCCTCGAAATTCCTTTTCCCCCCCCTTCCCCCCCCCTGCCCCGTTCTCTCTGTATCCCCAGCCTGCGGAGGCAAGAGTACTTCATTCCTGTGGGAATCATTCTCAAGGTGAGCTGGGGTTCTGAAAATAGTGAGCTGGGGTTTTGAAAATAGTGAGCTGGGGTTCTGAAAATAGTGAGCTGGGGTTCTGAAAATACCCAAGATGAGGCATGGGGAAAGGAGTGGGCGCCGGTATTCCCAAGGTACCTGTTTCTACACATGTGCTCCTTTGGACTCCGACCATCCTGCAGAGGCAAGAGTACTTCATCCCTGTGGGAATCATCCTCAAGGTGAGCTGGGGGTGTGGTGAGCTGGGGTGTGGTGAGCTGGGGGTGTGGTGAGCTGGGGTGTGGTGAGCTGGGGGTGTGGTGAGCTGGGGTGTGGTGAGCTGGGGTGTGGTGAGCTGGGGTGTGGTGAGCTGGGGTGTGGTGAGCTGGGGTGTGGTGAGCTGGGGTGTGGTGAGCTGGGGTGTGGTGAGCTGGGGTGTGGTGAGCTGGGGTGTGGTGAGCTGGGGTGTGGTGAGCTGGGGTGTGGTGAGCTGGGGTGTGGTGAGCTGGGGTGTGGTGAGCTGGGGTGTGGTGAGCTGGGGTGTGGTGAGCTGGGGTGTGGTGAAATCAGGAGTACTCACAAGGTCACCTGCTGGTATTCCCCAGGTCACCTGCTGGTATTCCCCAGGTCACCTGCTGGTATTCCCCAGGTCACCTGCTGGTATTCCCCAGGTCACCTGCTGGTATTCCCCAGGTCACCTGCTGGTATTCCCCAGGTCACCTGCTGGTATTCCCCAGGTCACCTGCTGGTATTCCCCAGGTCACCTGCTGGTATTCCCCAGGTCACCTGCTGGTATTCCCCAGGTCACCTGCTGGTATTCCCCAGGTCACCTGCTGGTATTCCCCAGGTCACCTGCTGGTATTCCCCAGGTCACCTGCTGGTATTCCCCAGGTCACCTGCTGGGTATTCCCCCAGGTCACCTGCTGGTATTCCCCAGGTCACCTGCTGGTATTCCCCAGGTCACCTGCTGGTATTCCCCAGGTCACCTGCTGGTATTCCCCAGGTCACCTGCTGGTATTCCCCAGGTCACCTGCTGGTATTCCCCAGGTCACCTGCTGGTATTCCCCAGGTCACCTGCTGGTATTCCCCAGGTCACCGGCTGGTATTCCCCAGGTCACCTGCTGGTATTCCAGGTCACCTGCTGGTATTCCCCAGGTCACCTGCTGGTATTCCCCAGGTCACCTGCTGGTATTCCCCAGGTCACCTGCTGGTATTCCCCAGGTCACCTGCTGGTATTCCCCAGGTCACCTGCTGGTATTCCCCAGGTCACCTGCTGGTATTCCCCAGGTCACCTGCTGGTATTCCCCAGGTCACCTGCTGGTATTCCCCAGGTCACCTGCTGGTATTCCCCAGGTCACCTGCTGGTATTCCCCAGGTCACCTGCTGGTATTCCCCAGGTCACCTGCTGGTATTCCCCAGGTCACCTGCTGGTATTCCCCAGGTCACCTGCTGGTATTCCCCAGGTCACCTGCTGGTATTCCCCAGGTCACCTGCTGGTATTCCCCAGGTCACCTGCTGGTATTCCCCAGGTCACCTGCTGGTATTCCCCAGGTCACCTGCTGGTATTCCCCAGGTCACCTGCTGGTATTCCCCAGGTCACCTGCTGGTATTCCCCAGGTCACCTGCTGGTATTCCCCAGGTCACCTGCTGGTATTCCCCAGGTCACCTGCTGGTATTCCCCAGGTCACCTGCTGGTATTCCCCAGGTCACCTGCTGGTATTCCCCAGGTCACCTGCTGGTATTCCCCAGGTCACCTGCTGGTATTCCCCAGGTCACCGGCTGGTATTCCCCAGGTCACCTGCTGGTATTCCCCAGGTCACCTGCTGGTATTCCCCAGGTCACCTGCTGGTATTCCCCAGGTCACCTGCTGGTATTCCCCAGGTCACCTGCTGGTATTCCCCAGGTCACCTGCTGGTATTCCCCAGGTCACCTGCTGGTATTCCCCAGGTCACCTGCTGGTATTCCCCAGGTCACCTGCTGGTATTCCCCAGGTCACCTGCTGGTATTCCCCAGGTCACCTGCTGGTATTCCCCAGGTCACCTGCTGGTATTCCCCAGGTCACCTGCTGGTATTCCCCAGGTCACCTGCTGGTATTCCCCAGGTCACCTGCTGGTATTCCCCAGGTCACCTGCTGGTATTCCCCAGGTCACCTGCTGGTATTCCCCAGGTCACCTGCTGGTATTCCCCAGGTCACCTGCTGGTATTCCCCAGGTCACCTGCTGGTATTCCCCAGGTCACCTGCTGGTATTCCCCAGGTCACCTGCTGGTATTCCCCAGGTCACCTGCTGGTATTCCCCAGGTCACCTGCTGGTATTCCCCAGGTCACCTGCTGGTATTCCCCAGGTCACCTGCTGGTATTCCCCAGGTCACCTGCTGGTATTCCCCAGGTCACCGGCTGGTATTCCCCAGGTCACCTGCTGGTATTCCCCAGGTCACCTGCTGGTATTCCCCAGGTCACCTGCTGGTATTCCCCAGGTCACCTGGCTGGTATTCCCCAGGTCACCTGCTGGTATTCCCCAGGTCACCTGCTGGTATTCCCCAGGTCACCTGCTGGTATTCCCCAGGTCACCTGCTGGTATTCCCCAGGTCACCTGCTGGTATTCCCCAGGTCACCTGCTGGTATTCCCCAGGTCACCTGCTGGTATTCCCCAGGTCACCTGCTGGTATTCCCCAGGTCACCTGCTGGTATTCCCCAGGTCACCTGCTGGTATTCCCCAGGTCACCTGCTGGTATTCCCCAGGTCACCTGCTGGTATTCCCCAGGTCACCTGCTGGTATTCCCCAGGTCACCTGCTGGTATTCCCCAGGTCACCTGCTGGTATTCCCCAGGTCACCTGCTGGTATTCCCCAGGTCACCTGCTGGTATTCCCCAGGTCACCTGCTGGTATTCCCCAGGTCACCTGCTGGTATTCCCCAGGTCACCTGCTGGTATTCCCCAGGTCACCTGCTGGTATTCCCCAGGTCACCTGCTGGTATTCCCCAGGTCACCTGCTGGTATTCCCCAGGTCACCTGCTGGTATTCCCCAGGTCACCTGCTGGTATTCCCCAGGTCACCTGCTGGTATTCCCCAGGTCACCTGCTGGTATTCCCAGGTCACCTGCTGGTATTCCCCAGGTCACCTGCTGGTATTCCCCAGGTCACCTGCTGGTATTCCCCAGGTCACCTGCTGGTATTCCCCAGGTCACCTGCTGGTATTCCCCAGGTCACCTGCTGGTATTCCCCAGGTCACCTGCTGGTATTCCCCAGGTCACCTGCTGGTATTCCCCAGGTCACCTGCTGGTATTCCCCAGGTCACCTGCTGGTATTCCCCAGGTCACCTGCTGGTATTCCCCAGGTCACCTGCTGGTATTCCCCAGGTCACCTGCTGGTATTCCCCAGGTCACCTGCTGGTATTCCCCAGGTCACCTGCTGGTATTCCCCAGGTCACCTGCTGGTATTCCCCAGGTCACCTGCTGGTATTCCCCAGGTCACCTGCTGGTATTCCCCAGGTCACCTGCTGGTATTCCCCAGGTCACCTGCTGGTATTCCCCAGGTCAGGTCACCTGCTGGTATTCCCCAGGTCACCTGCTGGTATTCCCCAGGTCACCTGCTGGTATTCCCCAGGTCACCTGCTGGTATTCCCCAGGTCACCTGCTGGTATTCCCCAGGTCACCTGCTGGTATTCCCCAGGTCACCTGCTGGTATTCCCCAGGTCACCTGCTGGTATTCCCCAGGTCACCTGCTGGTATTCCCCAGGTCACCTGCTGGTATTCCCCAGGTCACCTGCTGGTATTCCCCAGGTCACCTGCTGGTATTCCCCAGGTCACCTGCTGGTATTCCCCAGGTCACCTGCTGGTATTCCCCAGGTCACCTGCTGGTATTCCCCAGGTCACCTGCTGGTATTCCCCAGGTCACCTGCTGGTATTCCCCAGGTCACCTGCTGGTATTCCCCAGGTCACCTGCTGGTATTCCCCAGGTCACCTGCTGGTATTCCCCCAGGTCACCTGCTGGTATTCCCCAGGTCACCTGCTGGTATTCCCCAGGTCACCTGCTGGTATTCCCCAGGTCACCTGCTGGTATTCCCCAGGTCACCTGCTGGTATTCCCCAGGTCACCTGCTGGTATTCCCCAGGTCACCTGCTGGTATTCCCCAGGTCACCTGCTGGTATTCCCCAGGTCACCTGCTGGTATTCCCCAGGTCACCTGCTGGTATTCCCCAGGTCACCTGCTGGTATTCCCCAGGTCACCTGCTGGTATTCCCCAGGTCACCTGCTGGTATTCCCCAGGTCACCTGCTGGTATTCCCCAGGTCACCTGCTGGTATTCCCCAGGTCACCTGCTGGTATTCCCCAGGTCACCTGCTGGTATTCCCCAGGTCACCGGCTGGTATTTCCTATCGTTGTGCCATTCGGTGTGTACACCCCTTTGCTGACTGATCGACGGTCCAGATGCAGAGTTGAACTCTCATCCAGCGGCTATCCCAGCTTCTCCATGTGCCCTGTACCTTTCCCCTCCCCACACTCCTGCCCTTTCCGTTTCCAGTGCCTAATGGACGTCTCAGATGCGGAGCTGTACGAGCATCTGACGGCCATCCTGACAGCAGAGCAAGCTGCAGCCGACACCCCAGAGAACGACGACCAGCAAAGCACTCTGGCTGAAACAGCACTAGTTACTGCTGGTGTTGGTGCTGCTGGTGTTGTTGCTGCTGCTGCTGCTGGTGCTGCTGCTGGTGGTGAAACCTCCTCTGCCTCCGCCTCTGCATCAGCAGCAGCGGCAGCGAAGCTAGGAACGCAGTTTGTGAGGGAGAGGGCGCTGGTGCTGCTGAGCCATCCGCACAGGCTGGGCCTCTTCACGCGCATGGAGTGCCTGGCGTACCTGGGGAAGAACTTCCGCCCCGCCATGGACGTGTTGGAGAGCAAGTCCGACGCCTATGTGAGTGACCACCCATGCCTGTGTGAGTGACCCATGCCTGTGTGAGTGACCCATGCCTGTGTAAGTTGCACATTTAAATTATTTTAAATTAGTGAGTTGTGAGTGCTGAATCAGCGATGGGGGTTCAATGAACCCCACCTCTTCACGCGCATGGAGTGCCTGGCGTATCTGGGGTAGAACTTCCGCCCCACCATGGACGTGCCACAGCAAGTACGACGCCTATATGAGTGACCACCCATGCATGTGTGCTTTTGCGCATTTGACCTGGTTTGCCAGTGCTTTCCCTCCTCTTTCCTTCTTTTCAACCAACCCCCTAAACCAACCCCCTCATCCAACCCCACCATTCCAACCCCAGCTTTCCCCCTTCACCCCATCCCTCCCTCGCTCAGCTAAGTGGAGAAATACGCGTCCAGCGTATTATACGCAAGCGTATTATACGCTAGCGTATATACGCTGTACGCTTCATTATGGGATTGGATACGCTAGGAAATACGCTCTGGCGGGCAGGTATAAAAACAACTCGGGCAGGGGTAAAAAAAACCTGTTTGGGGAGGGAAGAGGGGGGGTTCAGAGCACCAAATTCCCCCCACCAAATGTGGCATCATTTAGCATGGTAATAAATAAATAGTTCAAGCCACCAAGGGCATGTCAAGGGTTCCAAACTCCAACAACCAGCCAACCACCCATCTCAGGTAAGCCTCCCCCAAACCGCCCGCCTAACCCTCTCCTGCTCTGCTCTACAGGTACTCGTCCAGCAGCTCCTCATCTTCGCCCTCCTCATCCTCCTCCTCCCGATCCACCCTGTACCCCGCAGGGACGGGGGCGTCCGGGATGTTACCGGACACCACCCCCGCCCGCTCGTCGGCCATGTGCCAGTTGTGCACAACCTTCCAGTTGTGCGCAACGTAAACCAGATCCTTGCACTTTTCTGAACCCAGCCGGTTGCGTCGGGCGGTGTGGACAGTATCCCACACCGCCCAGTTGCGCTCGCAGCTGGATGCAGACACCGGCTGAGTTAGCACTCGGCAAGCAAGGGCCATGAGCAAGGGGTGGTCAGTGCCGTGCCACTCCCACCACGCCTCCATGGAATAACTTCCTTCCTTCACCAACTTCCGGTCACTGATGGCCTCAGCCGTGCCGAAGCTGCCCCTCAACTTCAGAAAGGCGGCCAACCCTTCCTGCAGGAGGAGTGTGGCACGCTTGGGCAGGCCATCCCTCTGGGGAATCATCACCCCGCCATAGTGGCGGGCAATGAAAGCTTTGAACACATTGGTGCACTCCGTGTCCGGCCCAGAAATCCGCTCCTCCTGGTTGACCGGGTTAAGAATCCGCCCGACCACGTGCAGTGGGCAAGCCATACTCTCATCCCAACGCCGCTTCACAATCTCATTGACGCCCTTCTTGTCTCCCGCACTCAGCACCCCATCCCCCTCCTCCTTCAGCAGTTCTGCCACATTCACAGTGAGCTCAAGCATCAGCTCATAGATGCGGCCCATCATCCCTTTCGTTGCCGAATCCGTCGCCCTCATGGCCTTGAACGGGAGCAGGAGCAGCCTCTTGAAGAGCTCAGCCGCTGGCCACCAGTCCTTATCCATGATCTGGTCGTGGAATGTCTCTGCAGCTGCCTTCTTTGGGCCCACCGCCCACTCCGCCTTCCATGCATCGCAGAGCACCATGGTCACCAACGTTGACCGCAACTCCACCAGGCGGGACACAGCAATGTGCTGCGTCCCAAACCTGGTCCCCGCCGGCCTCAGCATCTGCAGCCCCTTCCCTCCGTCCACACCCCTGAGATACTGTCGGGTCCAATGGTGGCTGCGGGTGTAGTTGATGAGCTCGCTCGCCCGCCCCACTACCTCCTTGGCCCAAGCCTGCCGTCCCACATCCTCCATAAGGAGGTCGAGTACGTGCGTCGCACACGGCACATGCTCGATGCGCGGATTCTCTGCAATGAGGAGCCGGCAGGCGCTGTGGTAGTTGCTGCCGCCATCGGTGCAGAATGCCACGATGTTCTCGACCCCAACCTTTTGCAGGATGGGCCGGAGGAGCCGGGCGATGTATCCCCCGGTCTTTTTCTCCATCTTGCAGTCAATACTCTCGACGAACACTGCGCCGGTGTCATTGACCAGCATCACATTCGCCTGCGGCCTGCCACACTTGTCGGTCATCATGTCGCTGGCAATCGTCACGCCGTGGCGCTTCCAGCTCGACATGACGCCCGTCAATCCCTCGTCAATCCGCTTGCGGCATAGCTGCAAGCCGGCACCACCCACGTAGTCGCGCTTTGGAGGCACATAGCTGGTCCCGGGGCGCGCGATGGACCGGACGGCGTTGCGCCAAAGCAGGTGGTCGGCATGGCGCTCGGGAAGGCGGAGGCCGGCAAAGAGGAGGCAAATAGCCTCGTCCGCCGCCGCCTTGGCCGCTTGGGCGTCATCGGACAGGTAATCGGTGATCTTCCGCTTTCCCCGACCACTAACGGCGTCGAGGGCCGACTCCTCCGCCCTATGTGCCTCCTCCCTCGCGAGCACTTTGGCGGTTTGGAACGCGCGGACGGCAGCCTGCTCCTCCTTCCCTACCTCCTCGCATTTCCGAACCTCGCGCCTACGCATACCATCCCAACTAGTGATGTGCTGTGCGCAGCGGTAGGCCGTCCCGGTAAAGGATACGGGGCAGTACTTGCATCAATACTTTTGCTGCTTGCCGTGCTCCTTATGCTTAAACTTGAAATGCTTAAAGATAGCGTGGGTGGAGTTCTCCAGGAGCTCGTCAGAGGAAGACGCAGCACAGGAGGTTCCCGCGTCGGTTCCGTGGGAACCAGGACTAGGTGGAGGGTTCGACATAGCAACAGTCGCTAAAAAACCAGCTAGCTAGTCGCGCTAGCTTGGAAGAAGAAATGACTGAAGTTAGCGCGCCAGTTTACTTGTACCCTGATTTCGTCGTAGGAGTGAACTGCGCTGAACCCTGCTGGAGTAGAGTAGAGAGGGAGAGGAAGGAGATTTCTTTGGGTGTTGTTTGGAAGTCGCAGATTGGGTGGGATGCTGTGTGGTTGGGAGGGGCGAAGGGGTTGGGTTGACGATTTGAAAAGCCAAATTTCGGTTTGCGACATGACGAAATCCCTGTGGGGTTTCGTCATGTCGCAAATTTGTCGCACCGTTTTTTGCGTATTTCTTGCCGGGCTGCCCGCCAAGAAATACGCTAGCGTATTGCGTACTTAGCTAGCGTACAGCGTATTCGTATTATACGCTAGCGTATGTACGCAATACGCTAGGCTGCCCAAGCGTATTTCTCCACTTAGTCGCTCAGTTGTGCCAGTGGGTGACCAGCGGCTACGTGCTCGTGCACCTCGACAAGCCCAAGGGCAAGCTCCGGCTGCTCGTGCTTCCCTTCCCTCCCCCTCACTGCAACCCCTCTTTCCCCCTTCACCCCGTCCCCCCTCGCACAGATGGGCCAGCGAGTAATCTCGGGCTATGTGGTCGCGCATCCCCCCTCGTTCCTTCACTCCACCCCCATCTTTCCTTCATTCCACCCCCCTCTTTCCTTCATTCCACCCCCCTCTTTCCTTCACTCCACCCCCCTCTTTCCTTCATTCCACCCCCCTCTTTCCTTCATTCCACCCCCCTCTTTCCTTCATTCCACCCCCCTCTTTCCTTCATTCCACCCCCCTCTTTCCTCATCCACCCGTTCCCCCGTCACCCTGTCCCCCCCGCATGCAGGTGGGCCAGCAGGTGATCTCGGAATACGTGCTCGTGCACCTCGACAAGCCCAAGGACAAGCTCAGGCTGCTCGTGTGAGTGGGGAGAGGCTGTCTTGGGCGTTTGGAGGTCTCCAGCACTTGGCCAGTCTGGAGCGCCTGGCCAGTCTTGAGCGCCTGGCCAGTCTTGAGCACCAGGCCAGTCTGGAGCGCCTGGCCAGTCTTGAGCGCCTGGCCAGTCTTGTTCTCTCTTCGTTTTCCCATTTGAGTCCCTCATTGCTCCCCTCAATGTCGCCTCTCTCCCGCCCTCTTGGAACCGGGCTGCAGGCTCATGCTGCACAAGCTGTGGTCGTTCACGGAGGGAAATGTCCCCCTTGTTCTTTTTCAGAATGTATTCTTCTCTCTGTCCCCCTTGTTTCCGCTGCTCTTCTCCCCCCTGGGACCTGGCACGGCAGGTTCATGCTGCAGAAGCTGTGGTCGTTTGTGGACGGGCTGTCGCAGGAGGACAACCAGGACACACTCATGCACCACGAGCTGTACCTTCCGGGCCATATTCTCAACATCTTTGTCAAGGTACATCTAGAGACATGAGCAAAAGAAATCGAATCACATCGCAATAAATCGTGTTTTTTTCCCGATCGCGTTTTCTTTCTTTCTTTCTTTCTTCTTTTTTGGGAAAGTCGTGCAATGCGATTTTCTGTTTATCGCGTGATTTGGTTGAATCGCTTTCAATCGCGTGAAAAAAAAAAAAGCAATATAAATGCGATATGCGATTCTTATTAAATTGCACGATGTCGAAATGCATCGCGCTGCGAATTCTCGCCAGCAAGGGGGGAAAAACTCAAACCCCCAAGTCAAGCCCCTAGACCACAGGGGCTCGCACCTGTGTGAAACCCATTTTCTAAACAACCTACTTATTTACACCCTGAACCCTGTAGCTGCTGGTGCTTTAATGCACAGGGAACCTTTTTTTAAAAGTTTACTTTTGGGAGGGTTTTTTTCCTGGACAGGAAAGCGATGCAATTTGATATCGCATTGCACTATTTAAAAAATCATCGCATGCGATGTGCGATTTACAGTTTCTGAAATTTTACATCGCGCGAAGCAATTTTAAATCGCATCGTTTTTTTTTTTTTTTTTTTTTTTTTTTTTTTTATGGCCCCCCATCGCAATGCGATGCAAATCGCTATCGCTTTTTGCTCATGTCTAGGTACACCGCCACACATGCTGCTGAACTGAAGGTGGGAACTCATTGGAGCACTGCTTTCTGCGCCATGCTTGCTGGTTGAGGCTTGCTGCCCTTGGTTAATAGCTCCACGCAACAGCCAGTGGAAAAAAAGGAGATCTTCCAACAAGCTATGCCTCTTCCTCCGTCCCCCCTCGCCACCTGAAACCACACCCTCCCTTTGACTTGAGTCGACTCTGAAGCATACTCCCTTCATTCCTCTCCTTACCTCCACTGTTTCTCTCAGGAGAAGCTCCAGGGTTACCTCCAGAAGATCCAAAACCATGCCGCCCAGGAGCTCGTCAACAACCCCACCACGACGGATCTCCGCGCCTCCAACTGGCTGCGCCGCCTCATCGAGAGCGGCGGGGCGGGCGGCGCCGCCAGCCGGTCCGGGGCGGCAGGGGCGGGCGGCGGGGTCGGGCTGGGGATGGCATATCTAGGGAAGGACATCGAGTACATGTTGAACACGGGGAACCTGAGCAGCCCATCGGGGCTGGACCTGTCGCAGCGGACGGGGCTCACGATCATGGCGGATAAGCTCAACTGGCACCGCTACCTCTCGCACTTCCGATCCGTGCATCGAGGAGCGTTCTTCTCGACGCTGCGGACGACCACTGTGCGCAAGCTGCTGCCAGAGTGAGTGGGATATCTGCATGTGAGCTAGCACGTCCTGAGGTGCCTGGTAGGACAAGCTCAACTAGCACCGGTACCTCTCGCACTTCCGATCCCTGCATCGAGGGGTGTTCTTCTCGACGCTACGAATCACTACCATGCGCAAGCTGCTGCCAGAGTGAGTTGCTTATTCGCATGTGATGTGAGCGAGTCCTGAAGTGCCTCACTGCATGAGCTCACCTGGCACCGGTACCTCTCGCACTTCCGATCCGTGCACCGAGGGGCGTTCTTCTCGACTCTGCGGACAACCATTGTGCGCAAGCTGCTGCCAGAGGGAGTTTCACTAGTGGGCGGGCAGTAGGGCGGTGTGGTGAGGTGACTTTTGAGTCGACTCAAAGTCACCTCGGTGTGGTGTGGTGCTTAAGAGGATAAGCTCAACTGGCACCGGCACCTCTCGCACTTTAGACCGGTCCACCCGAGGGGCATTCTTCTTGACGCGGTGGACGACTACTGTGCGCGAACTGCTGCCAGTGCCAGAGGGAGTGGGGTCAGAGGGTAAAGTGAATTGAAGTGGGGTTGATTAGGCATGAGTGGTGTGTGTGGGGATGACTCAGGCTTGGTTTGTCATCTGATTGTTGGCTTACTTGCTTGGATTCTCAGTCTGATTCTCAGTCTTGCATCCTCCTTTCCCTCTCCCTCGCAGGGCCCGGGGCTTCATGTGTCCCGTGCATACGCCACGGAGCCCCCTGCGGTCTCCTCAACCACCCTCTCTTGCTGTCTTCCTATCTTCCCCGGCTCTCCATATTTGTCCCTCCATCCCCTCCCCCTCCCCCTCCCCCTTCCTTGCAGGTCCTGGGGCTTCATGTGCCCTGTGCACACGCCAGACGGGGCCCCCTGCGGTCTGCTCAACCACCTTGCAGCACCCTGCACAGTCGCCACCGACCTCACCCCTCCTCCCCTCTCCTCCTCCTCTTCCTCCTCCGCCCTCCTCCCCTCCACCCCCCGCTCCCCGCACCTCCCCCACACGCCTTCCACCCCTGCTGCAACCCCCGGAGCGGTTGTTCTAGCCTCCGGGCTAGGCTCGGGGGTAGGTGCGGTGAAATCGCGAGACGCGGTTGGCCGCGCGGTGCTGCGGTGCTTGGCGCCGTTTGGGCTGGCGGCGGTGGGAGCGGGGGTGCCGCCTCCTGGGCCCCCTCCTGTGTTTCTGATAGTGATTGTGGATGGGTGTGTGTTGGGGCACATACATGCGGACATGGCACCTGGTGCTGTGAAGCACCTGAGGTGCCTCAAGGCGACTGGAGAAGCAGGGGTGAGTGGCTGAAAGGAAGGGACGCAGGGGTGAGTGGCTCTACCAGGTGGCTTTTTTTTAGGCGCCTCAAAGAAAGGCGACTGGAGAAGCAGGTGAGTGGCTCTACCAGGTGGCTTTTTTTTAGGCGCCTCGAAAAAAGGCGACTGGAGAAGCAGGGGTGAGTGGCTGAATTTTTTAGGTGCCTCAAAAGTCGTCTCATTTCACCTGGAGAAGCAGGGGGGAGTCACTGAATGGAAGGGACGCAGGGGTGATCTGCTTTTGAGTCGACTCAAAAGCAGTCACTGAATGAAAGGGACGCAGGGGTGAGTGGCTCTACCACGTGGCTTGGTTGCTTTGCTGCTATGGCTTGTCGTGTTATCAAGTCCCCCCCCCCTTCCCCCCTCCCCCCCTCCCACCGCCATTGCCTATTCCTTCCCCCCATCCTCCTCCTTCGTTGATTTGCATCACTCCCCTGCCCCACTCTTTGATCCCCTCCCCTCAGCTCCTCACTCACCGCCTTGAGGTCTCTCGGATCGTCACCCCCTGCTCTCAGCAAGGCACCTTCCCTTTCCGCCACCCTCCTCCCCTCCGTTCGCATCCCCTCTCCCATACCTTCCCTTTCCTTCCATTCACATCCCCTCTCCCTTCCCTTTCCTTCCATTCACATCCCCTCTCCCTTCCCTTTCCTGCCATTCACATCCCCTCTCCCTTCCCTTTCCTGCCATTCACATCCCCTCTCCCTTCCCTTTCCTGCCATTCACATCCCCTCTCCCTTCCCTTTCCTGCCATTCACATCCCCTCTCCCTTCCCTTTCCTGCCATTCACATCCCCTCTCCCTTCCCTTTCCTGCCATTCACATCCCCTCTCCCTTCCCTTTCCTGCCATTCACATCCCCTCTCCCTTCCCTTTCCTGCCATTCACATCCCCTCTCCCTTCCCTTTCCTGCCATTCACATCCCCTCTCCCTTCCCTTTCCTGCCATTCACATCCCCTCTCCCTTCCCTTTCCTGCCATTCACATCCCCTCTCCCTTCCCTTTCCTGCCATTCACATCCCCTCTCCCTTCCCTTTCCTGCCATTCACATCCCCTCTCCCTTCCCTTTCCTGCCATTCACATCCCACCTTTCTCCCCGCAGATCCCTCGTGACCTCGAGGTTGCCTTCATCCCCTTCTCCCAGCAAGGAACCTTCCCCGGGATCTTCCTCTTCTCTGCACCGGCGCGCTTCGTCCGCCCTGTCAGGCAGCTGCCGTCACTCAACCCCAAGGCTACGGCAGCAGCACCCACGTTTGAGCTGATTGGCAGTCTGGAGCAGGTGAGGTGGTTAGAGGTGTTGTGATATCGGGTAATACAGCAGAGCCCCGAGAGCAGGTAGCCTCAGGCAGCTGCCGTCACTCAACCCCAAGGCCACGGGTGCAGCACCCACGTTTGAGCTTATGGGCAGTGTGGAGCAGGTGAGGCAGTAGGGCCGAATAGTAAGGCCGCGATTAAGACCCTCGTTCTTCAAACCCAAGGCCACCGCAGCAGCCCTTCAGTATGAGAGATATGCTGGTATGGCCTCACAGAAGGTCCCCTTTCTAACACTCTCGTTTTTCTATTTAAACCTCCCCTTCCCCCCTCCCCCTCTCCCCCGCCTGCAGGTCTTTCTCGATGTGATCTGCCCTGATGACTCATCACCTGACAAACCCATCACAACCCCATCACATCCCCTTTCTACCGCTCACAACCCCTAATGATGTGAACCGCCCGCCCCCCTCTCCCCCGCGTGCAGGTCTTTCTCGATGTGCTCTGCCCTGATGGCTCGTCCTCCTCTCCCACCCGATCCGGCCAAGCCTCGACGACAGGCTCGGCGACGCACGAGGAGGTTCGGCCGACGGACATCCTGAGTGTGATGGCGAGCCTGACTCCCTGGTCCGACTACAACCAGAGCCCGCGCAACATGTACCAGTGCCAGGTAAGTGCCCTTCAGACCCAGGCTAACCCTGTTGTTGTTGGCAAAGCTAAACTCCACATTACGCAATGGCACGTCCTGAGTGTGATGGCGAGCCTGACTCCTTGGTCCGACTACAACCAGAGCCCGTGCAACATGTACCACTGCCAGCCAGGTAGGCGCAACATGTACCAGTGCCAGGTGAGGGCGCTTGGTTAACTTCTAACATTGGCCCTAAGTCCACTTCCCGCATCACACATGTGCCACCACCTGCAGGCGCCTCAGCTATGGTTTCGTTGCCTTTTAGTGCCTTGATATATTTTTCTCTACTTTGTGTGACCCATGTGTGTGTGACCCATGCATGTGTGAGCGACGTGTGTTTGTGTATTTGATTCATGCAGATGGGCAAGCAGACCATGGGCATGCCGCTGCGCTCCTTCCCCTTCCGTAACGACAGCAAGCTCCACCGCCTGCAGACGCCGTGAAGGCCCTAGGGCTCCATGTGTTGAGGCGCTAATGGCTGTCTTCCGATCGTGTGTGTGTTGAGGCACTAATGGCCTTCTTTCTTCCCAACATGTGTGTGTGTTATCCGATACATGTGGCAGATGGGCAAGCAGACCATGTGCATGCCACTGCACTCCTTCCCCTTCCGCAACGACAACAAGCTCTGCCGCCTGCAGACGGCCCAGATGCCTTAGAATCCATGCTGCCCCACGTTTTGAAGCTCTTCAAGTGCCCCTCGTCTCCCCACCATGTGTGTGTGACCGGGTGTGTCCCCCATGCAGATGGGCAAGCAGACCATGGGCATGCCGCTGCACTCCTTCCCCTTCCGCAACGACAACAAGCTCTACCGCCTGCAGACGCCCCAGACGCCCATCGCGCGCACCACAGCCTACGACGACTATGCCATGGATAACTTCCCCACAGGGGCTAATGCTGTGGTGGCTGTGCTGGCTTATACCGGGTACGTGGATTGCCTAATAAAGGGTACATACATTTGGTAACGTCCATCGCACGCACCACAGTCTACGACGACTATGCCATGGACAACTTTCCCACAGGGGCTAATGCAGTGGTCGCCGTGCTGGCTTATACCGGGTATGTGGGGTTGGATAATAAGGGGTATGGATGAGTGGGTGCAAGCATTACAGCCCATGATGACTATGCCATAGAGGCTAATGCTGTGTTTGCTGTGCTGGCTATTTGTTTTCACTCCTTTACCTGCCCGTCCACCTGCCCGGGCACCAGGTACGACATGGAGGACGCGATGATCATCAACAAGTCGTCCATGGAGAGGGGCTTTGGCCACGGGTACATCTACAAGGTACGGTTACATCTACAAGGTACGGTTACATCTACAAGGTACAGTTACATCTACAATGTACGGTTACATCTACACGGTGCAGTTACATGTCCAATGCATTTGGAAGTTGGATCAATATATTCTCAGAATGTGTTAATTTCTCGCTTCATATGGAAACCTCGTTTTGCTGCAACCCTCTTCGCACCAGAACGAGCTGACCGACGCCTCCCAGGGGGCGTCCGCATCACGTGGGGCCAGATTCACGCCTTCTGGGCTGCCGGTGCAGATGCTGGGATGGCCAAGTAGCAGCAGACGGTTGCAAAAGGGCGCTACCGACTCTTATGGCTTGCCCCTTCACCCCTCTTTCCACCAGAACGAGCTGATCGACGCCTCCCAGGGCGCGTCCTTATCACGCGGGGCCAGCGGATTCACGTCCTCCGGGCTGCCCGTGCAAATGCTGGGCAGACCCGCGGTTCCGTTAGGGCTCTACTGACTCTGATGTCTTGTCCCTTCACCCCTCAACCCCCTCTCTCCACCACCAGAACGAGCTGATCGACGCCTCCCAGGGCGCGTCAGCATCACGCGGGGCCAGATTCACGCCCTCGGGGCTGCCGGTGCAGATGCTGGGGCGCCCTGCCAACAGTAGACGCTTCCAGAAGCCCTCCATTGACTCGGATGGCTTGCCCCGGCCTGGCGAGGTGAGATTGGATTTGGGGCACGCAGGGAGGGCGGGAGGGAAGGGAGCACAAGTGCAGATGCTGGGGCGGCCCGCCAAAAGTAGACGCTTCCAGAAGCCCTCCATTGACTCGGATGGTCTTCCTTGGCCCGGCGAGTTGAGATGGAAGGAGGGGTGGAGGGATGTCGGGTTCGCAGGAAGGGAGGGAAGGGAGGGAGGAAGGGAAGGCACTGCTGGTGCAGATGCTGGGGCGGCCCGCCAACAGTAGACGCTTCCAGAAGCCATCCGTTGACTCTGACTGTCTTCCTCGGCCCAGCGAGGCGAGAAGGTAGGATGGGTGGGCAGGGATGTCGGGTAAGGGATGGAAGGAGGGGTTTGGGCTTAGATGAAGTAGGGGGAAGGGAGGGAGGAAGGGAAGGCACTGCCGGTGCGAATGTTGGGGCGGAGGGGGGATGCTAGTTTCTTTCCCTGGCCCTTGATCTCGCCCGTTCTCCCCTTCCCCCTTCCCCTCCCCCCCCCCACCCTTGCAGCACATCTCGAGTGGCAACGTGTATGCGTGCACCATCGACACAGTGACCGCCAGGGCGGGCGCAAGGGAACTTATTCTAACCTTCGTGCCTCTGTTGGGCCCTTCATCTTTACCCCCCCCCCCCCGCACCCCCCCTTTTACAGCACATTTCGAGTGGCGATGTGTATGCATGCACCATTAACACGGTGACCGGCAAGGCGGACGAGACGAAGCTCAAGGGGTCGGAGGATGCGATCATCGACGCTGTCACCGTCATTGGCACCGGGCCAAAGACTGCTCTCACCAAGGTGCGACTCAAGGGACTGAAGGCAAGAGGGGAGGTGCAGTATTCTTTGGTGGAGGGTTGGAGCTCTCGATGTAGGAGGGTGCGATCGTGGACACTGTCACCGTGATCAACACGGGGCCCCACACGGCCCTCACTTAGGTAAGACCCGCCTCATGTGGGTGCGAGGGAACGCGCAATGGTCATAGGCTTAGGGTGTCGGAGGATGCCATCATTGATGCTGTCGCCGCCAGACTGTTCTCACAAAGGTGAGAGAGGGGAGGGTGCAAGGTGTCCAGCAGTCACCACGGGAAAAGGGAGTGCTGTGGCAGCTGTGCCTCAAGACGGGCAGAAGGGAGTGCTGTGGCAGCCGTGCCCCAAGACGGGCACAAGGGAGTGCTGTGGCCGCTGTGCCTCAAGACGGGCAGAAGGGAGTGCTGTGGCAGCTGTGTCCCAAGACGGGCACAAGGGAGTGCTGTGGCCGCTGTGCCTCAAGACGGGCACAAGGGAGTGCTGTGGCAGCTGTGCCCCAAGATGGGCACAAGGGAGTGCTGTGGCAGCTGTGCCCCAAGACGGGCACAAGGGAGTGCTGTGGCAGCTGTGCCTGATGCCGACATGCCTGTCCCTTCCTCCTCTGTTGCTATCCACCCCTCCCTATGCTCCCATACCCACCTGTAGGCCTCTGTTCGACTGGGGTCCGGTCGCTTGCCCCAGATAGGAGACAAGTTCAGCAGCCACCACGGGCAGAAGGGAGTGCCGTCGCAGCTGTCCTAGATATCCATGTGTGCCCCCCACCATCCATGCCCCCCTGCTGCACCAGGCATCTGTTCGACTGAGGTTCGGTCGCATGCCCCAGATAGGAGACAAGTTCAGCAGCCGCCACGGGCAGAAGGGAGTGCTGTCGCAGCTGTGGCCCGACGTCGATATGCCCTTCGCGTCGTCCTCCGGCATGCGTCCGGACATCATCATCAACCCCCATGCCTTTCCATCCCGCATGACCATCGGCATGCTCGTCGAATCCGTTGCTGCTAAGGTGAGTTCCTGGCAGGGATCAGTATGAAGGGACTCTTGAAGCCATCTAATGTGCTCCTATAAAGAAAGGGCATTTTCTCAAGTCGGGTAGGGCGCACCGTAGCCTTTCCCAGCACCACCTTGCTCTTCCAACCACTCCCATCTCCCTCTCATATCCTGTACCCCACCCCACCTGCAGAGCGGAGCTCTGCATGGTAATTTCGTGGACGCCTCGCCCTTCTGTCCGTCCACTCCCAACCCCCCGCCGCTCACCATGAGCCTCAGAGCTACTCTTTTCCCTGCATCCCCGTTCATCTGTCTTTCAGAGCGGCGCGCTGCACGGCAACTTCGTGGACGCCTCGCCCTTCCGCCCATCCACTCTGAACCCCCCTCCGCTCACCATGAGCCTCAAGTCCCGCCAGCCCGCCACACGACGTGGCGGCTCCCGAATGGCCCGCTCCTCCGTGGCTGCTTCGCCAGCTGTCTCCACCCCTGTTCCCCACTCCAAGCTGCAGCGGCCTGTGGGTGTCCCTGCCACCCCTGCCACCCCTGCCACTCCTGCTGCTGGTGCTGCCGGTGGTGCTGGGAAGGGGGCTGGGAGCTTTACCCCCTTGGATCTCCCCAACCCTGTTTCGTCTGCCAAGCCTGGGCAGACCGCCAAGGCTGCTGCCACACCTGCAGGACCGGCAGCAGCAGCAGCAGCAGGTGCGGGCTGCGAATCAAATCTGCCGCAGAATCGCGGGGATCTGGTGGACACTTTCGGGCGGCAGCTGGTGTCAAAGGGGTTCAGCTACTACGGCACAGAGACCATGTACAGCGGGGTATATGGCACGGAGATGGAGTGCGACATCTACCTCGGGGTAGTCTACTACCAGCGACTCAGGCACATGGTGTCAGATAAATTCCAAGTACGGTCCACCGGGCCTGTAAACCCACTCACACAGCAGCCGGTGAAGGGGCGCAGTAGGGGCGGTGGAGTGCGGTTCGGAGAGATGGAGCGCGATGCAATGCTCTCCCACGGCGCGGCCTTCCTCCTGCATGACAGGCTCCACACGTGCTCCGACTACCATACCACTGATGTCTGCTCTCTTTGCGGATCCCTGCTTGCCCCGGCCCTGGCGCTGCCCCGAGGCGGGGCGGCAGGTTCGGATGCAGCTGCGGCGCTAGGGTTGGGGCTGGGCGTGGGGGTGGGGTATGGCACGGTGGGTGGCGAGCTGAGGCAGAAAAAGATGGTGTGTCGGGTGTGTGGCACGGGGAGGGGAGTGGTGCGCGTGGCGATGCCGTTTGTGTTCAAGTATTTGGCGGCTGAGCTAGCTGCAATGAACATCAAGCTCACTCTGGGGGTGTGAGGGGTGTGAGATGGCATGGCTCTGTTGTGTTGTGTGACACTGCTGGGGCGCACGGGCCGTGCCTGACATTGGTTCGCGCGTGGCGATGCCATTTGTGTTCAAGTACCTGGCTGCTGAGCTGGCTGCAATGAACATCAAGCTCACGCTGGGTGTGGAGTGACAACGTAGGGGTGTGAAGGTGTGGGGGTGGTGGTGTTGAAAGAAGCTAAGCCTAGGAGCTAGTTAGGCATGAGAAATGTCGAGGTTTTAGCTAGGGAGAAAAGTGACAAGAGAAAAGAGGGTTGGACTAGAAGAGAGAGATACAAGAAGGGTGGTGTACCCTCTACAATAGGATCTAGTATTGTGGCACACCTAACCTACCAAGCCTACACAATTATCTATCAATAATATATATAAGTTGACACACCCCCTAGGCTTGGTAAGCGCTAGCACACCACACACGCAACACCCCCAAACACTTGCACCCCTAAGTCCTGCAGCAGCTGTGGCGTCTACCAGCGGGTCGACCCCTCGGCAATCGAGGCGGCGACGTCAGCGGCCGGTCACTGCGGCGGTGGCGGCAGGGCCTGCAACACCTGGGGCGGCGGCGTCGAGGCACCCAGCGGCGTGGCACACACTGTAACGACGAGGGGGGTCTCAGAGTTAAAAAGTTGACTAGAATGAGAGATAAAAGGTGCTTTTGTGCTAAGGGGTTGTACTCTCTAAGAGTACGCACCTATATAGCCTATAAGATAGGTGATGTCGAGAAACGGGGAACGGGGAGGTCGAGAGGGTCTCGGTCGCCCTCTGGGGATACAAGCATGGAGCAGAGATGGGGAACAGCGGCAGCAAGGTAGGCCAACTCGTACTACCTGCCCTCTAGCACGTCACTGCCAAGGGCAGGTGCACCCCTGACAGACAGAGGACGGGCAGTACTAGAGACCAGAACGGCAGCGTAGTCAAGGCGGTGCCTAGCGGCGAAGTCAACGACAACAGCGACAAGCTCAGAGACGGTTTCAGGAGGAGTAGTAGGGTCAGTGACAAGCGACGCAAGCAAGCGCGAGAGGTTAGGACGAATAGCAAGAGCAGTGGCAAAGTGAGGAGGGGGGAACGACGGAAGAGACGACGGGGGAGGCAACGGGAGGACTGGGAATGGAGGAACACGCGAATGAAGAACCATATGGTGGACACTAGGATGATGAGAGACAATACGAGCACCAGAGGGGCGACGAACCCAGTGGGGAAAAACTGGGGACTGGGGCAAGGGGGAACGGGGGACAAGTCTGGGGACGGAGGGGAGCGCGGGGGAAAACGAGATGGAGAGAAGTCCGGGGGAGGGAACAACGGGCCGTAAACAGGGTCACGCACCAAAGGAGGAATGGGCGGGCGTACAGGGGAACCGGGAGCAAGACCAAGGAGACGAAGGGCAGACTACGGTTGCTTTTGTTGCGGTGGCTGCACTTGCTGCTGCGGCTGCGCCTGCTGCTGCGGCTGCGCCTGCTGCTGTGGCTGCTGCTGCTGCTGCGGCTGCGCCTGCTGCTGTGGCTGCTGCTGCTGCTGCGGCTGCTGCTACGGTTGAAACTGCTCTTTCTCCTCTCCAGGACCTCCAGCGGCACCGCGGCTGCCACCGGCACTCCCTAAACCAGCACCCCCAAGACTAGCACCCTCGGATGCACCACCTACAGAACCAGCACCCCCAAAACTCGCACCCGCAGAACCAACACACCCAACACTACCACCTCCAACACCAGCACCCCCAGAACCAGCACCCCTAGAACCCACTGCTTCCTGCTGCGGCCGCTGAGGCTGTTGCGGCGGGTGCTGCCGCTGCTAAGGCAAGGGGGGAGGTGGCTGAGGTGACTAGGGTAGCGAGGCTGGGGGAGGCGCCACAGGAAGAGCAGGCGCGCCCCCAACAGCTGGGCCCCCAGAATCAGCCGACTCCCCCATAGGTGCACCCCAGGGGAACTGAGTGGCGTAGGAGACACCAGACTGGGCCGAGCGGGGTGGGAGGGGAGCGGCAGGCGGGGCATGGACAAGGAAGAGAGGAGGAGGTGGCACAGGAGCGCTGCGGTGCGGGAAGCACCGGTAGTAGGGGACATCTCGTCGAAGGTAACGTCACGAGAGTGGTAAAAGCGGTGGTGTGACAGGTGCTAGATTAGCCAGTCAGAGGCGTCAAGCGGAAAACCCAGGAAGACACAAGAGAGGATGCGGGCTGAGAGCTTGTCCGCGGTAGTGTCACGGACATGAGCAAGGCTGCCCCAGACGTGGAACGCAGATGCGTCACCAGAAGACCCGGTCCAGAGGAGGGCTGGCGAAACCTGTGGCGGCTGAGAGCGCGGCCACAAGTTAAACTGGTGAGTAGCGTAGCGCATAGCGAACGGCCACAGAAAATGGGGTGCACCGGCATGGACCATGAGGTGCGAGCCACCTCCATGATCAGGCTGATGACCCCATTCTTCTGTGGGGAGTCTGGTATTGTGTACGTCTGGCGGATGCCCTCCGCATGGCAGAAACGTCCTATAGTGCCAGAGGCAACCTCGCCACCTCGGTCAAAGTGTAAGCGACCTACAGGTAGGCGGTGTTGGGTGCGAACAGCAAGAAGCCATGGGCGGAGAACGGTAGGCACATCGGCCTTCCGCTCCAATGGGAACACTGTGGTGAACCGCAAGAAGTCGTCAACGACGACTAGGAAATAGCGCTCCCGGCTAAGACCATACACCCGGGCAGGGCCCCAGACGTCCATGTGCAGCGTCTGTAGCGACGTTGTGGTAGGAGGAAACAAGAAGGAGTGATGGGCGGCGCGTTGCCGGCCCTCGACGCAGGAGGTGCATAGTGGCGCTATCGACGGAGGCAGTGCGGGTAGCGACGTAGGGAGACCAGTGACTAGACCGTACATGGACATGTGCCTAAGACGCGGGAGTGCAGGGTGACCTAAGCGGTGGTGCCACAGAAGGGTCGGGTGGGCTAGTGAGCGACAGGAGCAAGACGCGGTGACCTCGGCAGACACAGCAGCCGGCAGAGACTCAGTGTGCAGTGTAAAGAGACCTGACCCAGGGTCACGCTCAAAAGTGGCTAAGTGTCAACCCGTGGCTGTGTCTGATCAAGCGGCGTGCCTCTCGTGGCCAAGGAACGTAGTGGCGACGCCTCGGTCTTGGAGGTAACTGACACCCACTAGGGACCTGGCAAACGAGGAGATGTGCAGACTGGTGAGGGAGCCAAAAGGGACAGCTGGACAGGGAAGAGTGGTGGTGCTATGTGCAACAGCTGTGGCGGAGGAGTCTGCTAGTGCGACGCGGACAGCCGTAGGAAGCAGGGTGAGAGCAGTACTGTCTCGAAAAAGCACCGAGATGCACGTGGGGCTGGCGAGCGCGGGGCCAGCGAGAACGGGGCCAGCGGGCATGGGGCTGGCGAGCGCGAGGCCAGAAAGCGCGGGGTCAGCGGGCGCGGGGCTGGCGAGCGCGGGGCCTGAAAGCACGGGGCTGGCGAGCGCAGGACCAGCGAGGACGGGGCCAGCGGGCGCGGGGCTGTCGAGTAGGGGCCAGCGAGTGGCTGGCGGATACGGTCGGCGGGCGGCTACGGGCGGCCAGGGGCTACAGGCTGATGGCGGTTACGGGCGGCACGAAATGGGCAGCTAGAAATGGGCAGCTAGCGACGGGCAGCTAGGGCTAGGACTAGGGCGGAAGCGCGGGTGGGCGGGGAGGACCTAACCTAGTGCATAATACCATCTCAGAGTTAGAAAGTTGACTAGAATGAGAGATACAAGGAGCTTTTGTGCTTTGGGGTTGTACTCTCTAAGATTACGCACCTATCTAGCCTATAAGACATATACATATATGATTTGACAGGGAGGACGGCACGAGACCGCCAGCAGCTGCGGCAGGGAGGAAGGGGAAATGCAGAGGAGGGGGACGAGTCTTCAGCGAGGCGCTATGGCTGGCGCGGTGCTGGCTGGCGCGCGGGCGAGCTGGCCGGCGCTAAAGACGTGCGCTGGCCGCGGCCGTCCGTGCGCTGGCGCATCGAAGCCGCCGCGGCAGCACGACGACGCCACGACAAAACGACGAGGCTGCCACGGCTTCTCGACGAGGTCGTGACGTGTCGAGGCCGCCATGGCAGCAGGACGTGGCCGCCATGGCAGCGCGTCGAAGTGCCGCCACAGCTGCTCGACGAGGTCGCCGCGGCGGCGCGGATGTGATGGGAGGGGAAAGAGTACGTTGCGGAAGCGTGATGACAAGGCGCAGCGGGATCCTCCTGCTCCGAAACCATGTTGGAAGAAGCTAAGCCTAGAAGCTAGCTAGGCATGAGAAATGTCGAGATTTTAGCTAGGGAGAAAAGTGACAAGAGAAAAGAGGGTTGGACTAGAAGAGAGAGAGCAACAAGAAGGGTATTGTCCCCTCTACAGTAGGATCCAATATTGTAGCACACCTAACGTACCAAGCCTACACAACTATATATAAATAATATATATAAGTTGACAGGTGGTGGGCGTGACCATACCGTTGCGGTACTTGGCTGCTGAATTAGGAGCTATGTGTCTGGATACTAGAATGAGAAAAAACAAAAGAGAGAACAAGCAAGGTATAGGGTTGGAGTTGTACTCTCTAAGAACAAACACCTATCTAGCCTTTAACTTCTACATACTAACACATGTATAAGTTGACACACCCCCTAGGCTAGATAAGGGGTAGTGCTCAGCAAGAAACACGCAGCTCAGGGTGGCACTACTAGTCCAACCTCTGAGGCAGGGGTCCGAAGACCAGTCAGCAAGAGTACAAACAAGGCAAAAGCAAACCAGGGCGGCATGACTAGTCCGGCCACTGGAAGAGAAGCCTTAAGGCCATTCTGGAAGGCATAAATATAGAGGAGTACACAATCAAGGTCCTGGCAAGTGAGCGTCTACACGAACTATACCAAGCTGCAAACAGTGCCGCTTATGATCTCTAGGCGTAAGCGCCTTAGTAAAGATATCAGTTATGCTGGCACCGGAGGCCAAGTGTACTACGCGAGCCTGGCGACGCTGCTGTAGCTCACGCAGGAGGAAGTACCTCAGCTAGATGTGCTTTGCTCTGCCCTCAAGTCGAGGCTCCTGACATAGGAGGATCATGGCCCTGTTGTCAGCGTACAGAACTGGGGCAGAACTCGGCTGCTCACCTAAGTCGGCGAGCAAGAAGGTCGGCCAGCGGAGCTCTTGTGCCGCCATGGCACCGGCATAGATCTCAGCCTCACAGCTTGTCTGGGCAACATACAAGGAGCGAGTGGACCTCCATGAGATGGACCCTGAACCAAGGCTAAAACAGTAGCCCTGGGAGGACCTGAGGGTCTCAGCGTCGTCTGCCCAAGAAGTGTCAGTGTGCCCAGTAAGGACCACTGGCCTGCGTCCTCCAAGCACCAACCCCATGCCCGATGTACTTGCTAGATAACGCAAA